AATATATATATTTTATTATTTACCATTATTTTCCTCCCTTTGAACTCCAGGATGATGCATGATCTTCCCACTTCCTGACCAGCACCCCTGCACATGACAAAACACATTTATGACATGCAATTCACATGCATGGATTGTTTTTGTGGTTGCATGTAGAACAAACATTAATAATCTATTCACACACACACACACACACATATAAATGAACTCACAGCGGACGGATGATAAGCTGATCGCTCTCCTCCGCGGGAACAACCACGTCTACTTTACGTTTCGAAGCCATGGTCGCTGAATTTAACGCGTTAATTCAAAAGAATCATTTTAACAACACATCCGGTCACAGCTGCTGTTTGTGTGATGAATGAATGAGAGCGAAAACACACACTTCCGGTAGGTGCTCCAAAACACCGCCGATGAGAAATCCAGCGCGTGGAGAAAAGTTCCGAGTCCCACGTTGGCTGTTTTTTTTTTTAATTCGCGAGATTAAAACAAGGAAATAACGAAGAATCTAAAAACGAAAAGTTGAAAAATAAACATTTTCATTACTCTTCTAAACGACATGACACATGACGTCACTTTTGCGCTGTTTCTCGTCGGGCTGGATGTGCGTCGCCTTTAAGCGCAGCTGGGTGGAGGCTGCGGGAGAAGCTGCGGAGACAAACCGGAGGTAAACACACAGAGAAACTCCGGCTCTCCGCCTGAGATCACACACAGACACACACCAACACAGGTAAGAGTGCGTGTTGTGTCAGTCTCCACTTCCTGTGTGTGTTTGTGTTTGTTAAAGCCTCCGGAGAAAGTCGCGTTTTAACCAGGGAGTGAGATGCAGGACGTTTAAGGTGGAGCTGGCTGAGTTGGGCTTCTCTGTTCAAGCGGGTGGAAGTTTCAGGATCTTCAGAGGTTCGAGGTCTGATGTTACCTGTTGATTCCGGGGGTTTATTAGTGTCATGGAGGCCGAGGTGTTTCTATGGATGGATCGTTTCAGTAGTGAGCTGGGATCCACGGTGATGAAGCACCTCCATCTCTAAACCCTGCTGGACTCTGGGAGAAGTTCAGTGGCTGCAGGTGTAACACTTGAACCTGTTTCTGGTTTAATCGAGGCCTCTTCAGTTTCACAACACGTGGTCTCAAGGTGCTTTCTGTAGTCTGTGACTTTTCTTAGGTTATAATAGAGACTTCCAGTTTCACTACAAGAGGCCGGAGGTTAGTGCCTTCGCTCCTTTTCAATGGGGAGAAGTGAAGAGACAGAGAAGAAGAAAGATAGAGAAGAAAGAAGAGAAAGAAGAAAGAGGAGAGAGAAGAAAGAAGTTCAAGAGAAGAAAGATGAGACAGAGATGAAGAAAAGATAGAGAAGAAAGGAATTTGAGAGAACAGACAGAGAAGAGAGAAGTTCAAGAGACAGACGAAGAAAAGATAGAGAAGAAAGAAGTTTGAGAGGAGAGAGAAGTTAGAGAGAAGAAGGGAGAGAGAGAGAGAGAGACCATCATATCCGTAAGAATCTCTTCTAGACTCAACTACAACAAGGAGAACGATTCTCTGATCCAGCTCCTTCTGATCAAACTTCAATCTGTACTTTATTATAAGCACCCTGCTGGTATATACTTCATCATACTGTGTTTATTACTGTTGTATTGTTATTATGAAGTTATATCATTTTTATTATATTTTATATTATCTGGCTTCAGATGTTAAATTGGGGACTTGTGGAAATAATCAAGTTAAAAACAAAGATAATTCATCAATGAAACGTTTAACAACTTTGTTTACAAAATAAAAGTAAGGTCATTTGAAAGTGAAAGTAAAATATGTCTTTTACTCAGTGTCTTCAAAGTCGTATTGTTTTGGGCAGAATAGTTTTTTTTTTTATCGAAACAGGAAATCACCCAAAAATGTTTTATTCATATATATTTAAAAATAAATCACATTTTAATAGATAAACAGGATTCATTCATTCAATTTAATTTTTGAAATTATTTGATATTCCAACAATGAACTGAAAAGAGTTTAATTTATATCGGGCGATATATCTCTATACTGTTTTTTGGAAAAGTTTTAATCCTGAATATTGGAACTGTCCTTGGCCTCAAAAATCCCTCTTGGCTCAGCTCTATCATAGCTAAATGAAATTGTTAAGCTGAAGGTCTACACTCTCATTTAGCCGTTATTAAAAATTCAGACTACGCTATGTTCCACGATCAATTATTCATCATCTCTGCTGAGACGCGAGAAGGCGGCTGTGTCATGTTTTTAACACCGTGGTCTGTAATGATCCAGGCCTGTTGGGGGTTGGAGGCCCTGATGGTGTCGTCATGGTGAAGGATGTTCCGGAAAGTCAAGAAGCGCCACAGCAGCAGCAGCTCGCAAAGCAGTGAGATCAGCACTAAAAGCAAGGTACAGTAACACACACACACACACACACACACACACACACACACACACACACACACACAGCAGGAGCGTTCAGGTGAGGGCATCGGAGCACGCAGGAGGCAGGACCTGACATTTGAATTCTACTGCAGACATCAGTGTTTTTCTTTACAGTGCATTAACACCAGCACTGATCCGCATCACAAAAGCTCTTGAATCTCGTTGTTTCCAAGTTGACATCTTCATCTGCGTCTTCTAGGTGTATTGCTCCACTTTTTCCACCTGAGATATTTGGATTCTTCCAGTTTTGTATTTTCCAGAAATGTTCCTGGTTTATTCTCATTCAGACATTTTACTGCGGAGCTGGCAGGAAAATGGTCCAGAGCAACTGACTCGGACATTTGCATCCTCACATATCAGCTCCTCTTGGCAAATTTCAGGGAAAATGTCTGGACTTTGGTGCATGTCTTCTTACCTGGTCATGTTTGGGTCTCTGTAGTCTGTAGATTCTAGTTTGGGGGGGCTCTCCAGATCGAGCACGGTTGCCAGCCTCGACACAGACTCCACCAAGAGCTCAGGTCAGTCATCAGATACATTTCCTCCCCTTCTCCTCCTCTTATTCCCGTTTCTTCTTTAACCAACTCACTGTTTGACACGTCAGGTAACAGTGCATCTGATGCGTGTGCTGAGTTCCGGGTGAAGTACGTGGGCGCCATCAAGAAGTTACAGTTTGACATGAGCAGGACGCTGCAGGAGCCTCTGGACCTCATCAACTACATTGATGCTGCTCAGGTGAGAATGGACAGAGACGCACTGTGAGTAGTAACGATGCTTTCAGAGACAGAGAAAACTGCTTCATACGTTCTGCTCCGTTTCTCAGCAAGACGGAAAGCTGCCGTTTGTGCCCGGAGAGGAGGACATGATTCTGGGAGTGTCCAAGTACGGCGTCAAAGTGTCCTCACTGGACCAGTGTGTGAGTAGCAGCACAAAACGTAGAAGTGATTGAAGACTCATCACTGAGAAATTCAGCATCATAGACGCAAATAATCAGGGATTCCCCCGACGTTCCCTCCACTTTTTTTGGGACATAATCCAGAAAACGATTATCTTTCTTGACCATGTAGCACAATCCAAAAAATGTACGAGTCACTGATCAAGTGTTTTCCCTCGGCCAGGACGTGCTGCATCGTCACCCTCTGTACCTGATCGTGCGCATGCTGTGTTACGACGATGGCCTCGGCGCAGGGAAGAACCTCCTGGCTCTCAAAACCACTGATCCGGAGCAAGAAGAGTGCAGCATCTGGGTGTACCAGTGCAGCAGCTCCGTGAGTGTGAACAACTTTCAAATGAAACAGCGTAACAGTGACACAAACACAGATCTGGAGTGTTAAACAAGAGTCTTCCTTTGTCTGAACAGGAGCAGGCTCAGTCCATCTGCAAAGTGCTGTCGGCTTCTTTCGACTGCGCTCTGACGTCAGACAAGTCCTGAGGTCAGAGACACGGACTGCTGCAGAGATCTGTCCAGAAACAAACGCAGCAACAGATAATAAGAAAACCACCATACCTGCAGTTTGTTTGTTAAACACGTAACCATTTCCCTTTTCACCCAACTTTACTGTGTTATTATTAACAGAGGTGAAGTGCAGGGTAAATCTGCCGCTCTGTTAGTTTTTACGATTCATGATTCAAGCTCGCTGGCTGAGTCATGTTCAGTCATCCTCCCTTCTTTCTCCATTGAGTCACATCCACAGAGAATTTGTCTCAATCATTTCCCTGGAATTAGCTTCCTTTACCTCACCTCTTCCTTCGACCTTAAAAATAAAGTTTGGAAAGGAGGGAAATGGTTGCATTAAAAAAAATAACTTTGGAGCACAGTGCACAGTTTTAATCTAGGAAATGTAACTGCCTCATATTTATATAAATGACGGTACATGATGCTGCAACACGTCTCCACCATGTGATCATTCATGGGAGACATTAAAAACTTGACGGTACAGTTTTTGCGACAGTTTGTTTCTCATCACGTGGAAAACCACTCTGATCAGAGGTTTTAAATCATTTTGTGTCTTTGTGTCGAAACAGTGTCGGTACAACAGCAGTCACCGTTTCTTAATACGTTTTGTGCCCATTTCTTATTTACTCTTGTTTCAAATTTCTTGTTTAGTCTTTGATTTTTGATTTGATTTTACACCCGACACCAGATAATTCGTAATGGGCTGTAAAATAGCATTAGAAAGATTTAGGAGCAACAAAAAAGTGTTTACATTTGTGGCACTAACTGGACATCACTTAGTACATATACTCTTCCTGTTCACCTCATTCCAGTTAAGCTTGGGTTTTGAAATGTATTTGATCTGGTACAATAAAGAAGAAGTTTTGTTTTTGAAGTATTTTACTGATTAAAATTTCTTTTCTCCTTTTTGATTTTAGTGTTTTCTTTACTTTTAAATGTATGCTATTTTTTCTCCTTCAATCATGAAGTGTGATTAAAGAAATACTATTCTTTTAACATTTTCTTCCCGCTTTCTAAAATGTGGATGCAGTGATGTGGAAATATCACCCAACAGAGGGAGCTGTTGTTTCACCATCTAACTTCGACTTGAGAGACACACCAGTTAAACTGTTGTCCTTTTAATATGCAGTCCATTAAGTTTAAATAGTTTTGTGCATTAAGGTCTCAAGAATCAAATAATCTTTTTTAATTTAATTTTAATACTCAGACCAATTCATCGTATTATTTCATAGTTTATTATTCCAGTTTCATTTTTCCATTTTCTTCCACAACAGAGTTAAGAGTCGATGCAGTGATCCACAGACAGTTAATGAGAATGAACTGATGAGTGTATTTTCCCAGCAGTGTGAGTGTGTTTGTATTCGGAGCACACACACACACACACACACACACAGGTCCAGCTGGGGTCACATCTGTAACTGCTCATCACCACAGTGCATTAAAAAGACATTTACTGCCCACGCTAACTCTGCGCTTAACATTTAAATATCAACAAAACCAAACCAAACATATTTACATGAATAGGTTATTAAATCTTCCTGTTTCCAGTGAGTTCATATTAAACACGATGAAGAGAGTGAAGGAATCTGCTCAGTGATTCACACGCTTCGCTTGTCATTCACAAATCCATGGAAGGCTCGATATCAACATTATGAACAGAAAGAAAGTTGCTCTGCAACTAAAGTTAATTACATTGTGTGTTTTATATTTATTTAATAACACTATAGATCAACTAATCTTTCTACATTATAGAACCCTGGTAATGTACAAGTATGAGAAGCTTAAGCTGTGGGAAGGAAATTCTCCTCTGTGTGTATGTAGAGAGCGTCAAAATATTTAAAAATCAGCATGTCGGAGTGTGAGTGTTCTAAAAGACGAGAGGAAGCAACAGAAGTCACAGCCGACTTCTGTTTTTTATCACATTCCCTTGATTTTACTTGTTTAATTTCCTCTTTCTTCAATATTGTTGAATACTGTCATCTTCAGTTTATTCTGTGCAGAGGACACACACTCCCTCTTTCTCTAATAAGGCAGATGTCAGGTGAAGCAGCCTGAGGTGTCAGACTGGATATAAAGGTAATTACTGGCTGCTGCGGCTCCAGTCACTGTCATCATTTGACCCAAAGAAGCTCGGGAGGAAGAAGTCGAGTGTTGCTGTTGGATATTTTCCTAAAATAGCTCAGGCAGAAGGAGGAAGACGTAGAATCTGTGCAGCTCTCTTACTCTACACACATGGGGGGAAAAACATCTTGTCCTGGGGTGCTGAGGTGAAGGCTTTTCTTTACATGCAGCACTTTTTAATGTCTGTCTATCAAACAGGGAGGATAGCGCCCCCTGGGTGCAGTTTCTAGCATATTCTGGGGTTTAACTTAGCACCATTAGAGAAACCTCCACACAGGAGGTCGACTACACCTAGAAGCAGGTGGGCTTTTATAAAATCGCTCATGCACGGAGGTGGAATGTAAGCATGACGTCTACGTTCACTCACACAGTCGTTAGTTAGAGTTAAGATACATTGCTGGAGTCTTCATTTGTACATTTGCAGAAAACGGGAGAAAAGAACTCTGTACACAACCTTCATCATGTCACGTCGTCTTATGTTGTAGCAAGGATAAAGACAAGAAAGTGCATTTATTGCGAGAGGCCGTTCACTACAATCATAAGAGTTTTTGAATTTTAGAGTCTGTCTCAGAAACATTAACAGCAAGCATTAAAATCCACAACACCGACACTGGCCTATGTGTGTGTGCTACCGCTGAAATGACGGCCACACAAATTTGCAGCTAAGGTAATGGATCAGCAACGCTTCCGCAAGCACGCCGATGATGTCGATGATGTTGAAAAACACTGGGGTGATGGTGGGTTGTAGGTTGTTGGGTTGGTGGGTGTCGATAAGACACAGGCAGCAGGTGACGGTGGGACGCTGCCTCCTGGGACACTTCCTGAGACCCAGTGTGACCTTTAGTCAGCGATGAAGTGCACAAACGTGACCGGGAAGGCTCCTCTTCTCATCGGATCACCTTCGATGTGGCCCAGCTACGAGGAAGGAAGACAGAGGTGAAAGGACAGAGGGCAGATACAAACCAAAATCCTGGATTTTAAAGGTGGTATTCAGTTTTTTGGGAAAGTATTATTTCACCAAGACACCAAAACATGTCACTAGTCTGTAGTGATGTATATGTCACCTTAAGCACATATACATCACTAAAACACAAGGAAACACTGGGACTGGCTAAAACAAAATCCAGTTAATTTACATTTTTGTTTGAATGATTCCGTAATGATTCTTCACTTACAAAATGATTCTTGTTTCTTATCAAAAAAACCCAAACAAATTAGAACTGAATCTAAATTAAATTGAATTTGGATTGAGAAATCAGTGTCAACATCCATTTCTACTAAACACCATCTAAAACTATGAGGGTCTAAATCACAACCACTATCTCAGTAAAAGAGTAAGAATGAATGTCCTGTACAATATTACCTTAAAAAGAAGAGAGTGCTTATCTATGCCCATTAAGGCATTTTAAACGTCTTCTATACCTGAAAAAAAAAAGCTAGGACATGTTTCTGCTCTGAAGAAAAAAATACAGAATAACAAGCAACAGTGTTGATCCACTGATCCGTCTTCACTAGAGTGTGGACACCGGGTTCGGACAAAAGTTCTGAAACGATGGTTTGGTTTGGTCACGTTGGCTGGGCTGACACTAAAGTTCTGGGCTGACTCTAAAGTCCTAGAGTTTGGACAGAGAAATGCGTCCCGAGCTGCGCTCTTGTTTAACATACAACAAAACACCCTTGTGTCTTTTTACGTTGATACTCAAAGTGAAACTTTGCTGTTCTAGTAATATAATAATCCAATTAAGCATCACAGTGACTTCATCGCCTGTTTGTACAGTGGTTTCATTTCAGTATGAGAGACACAGGAGTGACAACGCAGGACAGAGAGGAAGCGTGGAGGACGGGACCTCGGGGGACATGGGGTCCGTACAGGGCCACAGAGAGAGAGATTGACTAAATACGGTCATATCTCCCGAGGTGGCTCCAAGGAAAACAAGCCACAGCTGGTCCATGTTCACACAAGGGGCTCCACAGAGGAAGCAACAGCAGGCGGGAAAAGAGAAGGAGGACGAGGAGGCGGTGCGGGATAACGGCCAGAATGAGGTCACGACTTTTTCTGCTGTGAGCCACCGTAGTTGCTGAGCGCTGGTAAAAACAGGACCACAGTGGGACAAGACATGCGCTTGGAGAGCTTTATGTTTTAATCTCATGTAAAAGAAACCTGTAGCGTGAGTCTACAGCCTGAGAGATACTGACCCACCACTCCTGGTCCTCCTCTCCATCCACCACGATCACCTCGCCCTCAGAGAACGTCAGCTCGTCCGGGTTGTCGGCCACACAGTTGTAGATGGCTTTCACTCGCTTCGGCCTCTGCTTCTGAGAAACACGACAAAAGTTTTAGTAAGTGTGGGCAGAAAATGTTGAGAACTGTCCAGAACACATGCAGCACAATCTTGGTTGATTTTGTTTCGGTCTCTTTTTTCTGTTTTAATGTTATTATTGGAACATTTTACTCGGGGGCTGGCAGGAAAAACAATCTCGAAAATTTCCGGAGAAAGTGACTCAGACATTTGCGTTCTCAGGTACAGCCCTTCTGGAAAATCTCTGGACTTTAGTACTGAATTAAAGCAACTTAAGTTAATTTGGGGGATGAAAGACCTGATTCATTACATCATGGGCACCAAATGAAGACAAAGGAAAACCTGATATCATCCAAAGATTTCCACCTTAAAATTCTTAAAAACAGACGTGCACAAACAGCTTCTCTCCAGAAACTGTGAATGAATCTTTGCATAAGAACAGAGTGAGAGCACAGGAAGGAAATTTACTGCCTTAGTGGACACTGGAAACACTGAGACAATAGGCCGACCCTACACAGGAGGGAACCGCACAAACCCAACAACGGCATGGAGCACGACTCGTTAAATCAGCAGCCGATGATTCAGTGCAACAGTATCAATGAATAAGCACTTTACACGCTGCAGTATCTGGACGATAGTGAGAGGAAGCATGAGGCACTCACTGGGTAGGCCTTTCTCGGCATGGGGGCTGGAGGCAGGGACTGACCTATGGAGTTCTGGGGGCATCCTGGCACTTCCTTAGCTGGAACAGGAAGAGGAAATTATGTCACGCAGGCAAATACTGAACTTTCCACGTTTCCACAGAAGAAACAGGATTTGACATGTGTGAACTTTACGGAGACACTGGACAGACGCAGATTAGACCTGAGGTGATGTTTTCCCTCTCTTATCTGTATATTTCTCACCTGGTCTTTCGATGGACTGTGTTCGATTTAGTGGTCCTCTGTTGAAGCTTTTATCGTTGCTGGAAAATAAAAGAATGTAAAAAAAAACATGTGTCCCCATTATTAGAGTAGTAAAGACACAGTAAAGTGTCCAGCTCTCCGAGACGCCACAGCAGATTTATTGAAGCACTTTCAGCCCAGTGGGGAGATAAAAAAGAAAAAAGGGGCGACTGGGGAGGAGGGTTATTACTCTTCTGGCTCGACACAGAGTTTAGCCTGGAAGCTAATGAAGTAGCTAAACAGCAGCCGTGTGAGCTCATTCCTCTCGAGGAAACGAAACAGCACATTACAAGCAAGAGTTCACAACAGCAAGATACATAACCCTGAGGAAATACATGATTTTCCTGTGTGTGCGTGTGTGTGCGTGTGTGTGTGTGTGTGTGTGTGTGTGTGTGTGTGTGTGTGTGTGTACTGAAATATATGAATCTATTGTCCTCTGGTGCAAGATAATGAAGCTGTGGAGTCATCGCTCAACCCTCTGGTTTTTGGACACGGTGATAGTTTTCTTACAGCTG